TTTTTTTTCCTTTAGATTTATTTATTTATTTATATAAGCACTGGGTACAGTCAGAAGCGTGGGAGGGTGAGAGAGTTCACCAGAGTCAGAGTGGAGAGCAGAGCAGGCAGACTGACTAAATACACTGCTGAGGGGAGCAGCGGGCAGCAGGAGAGGTCTGCGCGCCATGTAGGACGCTCACCCTGTGGCCAGGGATCGAACCGGTGCTGCAGAGACTGCGGGCAGCTTCGCAACCCAGCGCTCAACTGCTGCGCCACTGGGAAGGCCCTGTTATCTCCATATTTTGAAGAAGCAGTCACCTTCTCCAGATTTTACTGACTGACTTTGGCAGAGAAACACTTTCCATCAATCCTCTACGGATTCTGAAGCTTTCCCAGACCTTCTGTGGATATGCCTGCGTTTGCATATTGCTTCTAGTTGCCGCAGAATTCTATTTTTTTTTTAAGATTTATTTATTTATTCATACAAGAACTGGGATAGAGGCCAGAGTTGCAGGGGGTGAGAGGATTTACCAGAGACAGAGTGGGGAACAGAATAGGCAGATTGACTGAAATACACTGCTGAGGGGAGCAGCGAGCGAGACAGGAGAGGTCTGCTGTGCCATGTGGGTTATCTCCCTGGCCAGGGATCAAACTCTGTGCTGCAGTGGCTGCCAACAGCTTCATAGTGCTGCAACTTAACCTCTTGCTCCACCAGGAAGGCTCCTGCAGCAGAATTCTTTATTTTTTTTAATTTTTTAAATTTTATATATTTTTTACATCATTTTTCATTTTTGCACAATGTATGCATTTTCATCTTGGTTATAGTCCCCATACAATTCCCACCACCCTTGTTTTGATCCTACTTCCTTCTCCCTGCTCCGCAGCCCCCGTGGTGTGTCTCTGGTTTATAGTTGCTTGTTGATTTTGATTTTTACTTTATTATAATTAGTCTTTTTCCTGGTCCCTTATTTAGGTTTTCTAAATTCCCCTGCAGCAGAATTCTTAAGCCTGTATACCTTCTCTCAATCTTACAACACATCAGGCCTGGGGCTGACAGCTTCCCTTTTATTTTTTCAAGGGTAGTACTGAATTCCAAAGTTGTAGCCTCTCTCTGGTAGCAGATTTAAGCTAGCTCTTGGCACATGCTCACTAGCTATCTGCCAAAGCTTGCTATAGACACCCTCAGAAATACATGTAGGAAATTGGCCACAGGATGGGGGTATGTGTTGATGAAGCATGTGGAGTACTGGCAGTGTCTGTGGACCAGTTGGGGGATCCACAGGCAAAGTGTCCCCAGCAGCTTGCATGCAGTCTCTACGGAGTTTGTTACACATCCCTGTCCCTCTGATACCTTCTAACAGTCATATCTGCCACTTTCCCAGTCTCTTCTCAGCCCACCCACCATTATGCAGCTCATGACTCAGTATTCTAGATGAGGCAAGGGAGAAATGGATTTCTTTGACAGAATCTAGCTCAGCTGGGAAAGCTGGGTGCCCACTCACATGCTCTCACTTTACCCCATAGAGAAATCAACAGCCAAAAAAGTGTTTTTTGGCAATGAGTTGTAGTAGCCAGAAGGACAAATGATGCAGGTAAAGTCAAATTGTTCCTCTTACCCTCTCCAATGTGTCCAAATTTTATTTTATTTTATTTTATTGCTCCTCTGGTGAATTAGAACTTCTCTGGAAACCAGCACTTCTCATTTGTGAGTGATTATCTAAGATGGAGCCAGTTTAAAGGCCACTGCTGGATCCACAACCAAACTGAAGTCTACTAGCCCACACATGGGTGAATGAGGCTTACCCTGGGTTCCTTGACATATAGTACTGTATCCTACATATAGTACTGTATCCTACATATAGTACTGTATCCTACAACTCCCACAAAGGTATTTTTGTCTGTGGATAGATACCAAGTTGTTGGGATGGAGTATGAGTGAGGAACATCTTAGGGCTTGTTACTGATGTCACTGTATGCACGCCTTTCAGTACCATGTTACATCTCAGGAATGCAAATGAAGGCAGAGGGCCTCTGTAGGGTAAAGAAAATATCAGGCTTTTCTGCCCTTCCGCCATCAGGATAGATGATGGATCCTTGTCCTGAATGCATGCCTGATGGCGGGCACCTGGAATAGGGTGTGGGGATAGGTAGATGGGATTCAGCTGAGCTAAGACTGTGCTTTTAAGGGCGGCGTCACAGGGATGCCAGCAGCAGCAGTAGAAGCCGAAGCAGAAGCCGAAAGAGAAGCAGCAGAAAGAACGCCAGAGAGCCCAAATAGAGTGAAGACTTGCTGGGGGCCTGGGAGGCCTGCCAGCCTCCCAGCCCCCCAGCCAGCACCCCTGCCTGCCATATGCCTGGTGAACCCCAATAAAGGACCTGCAAAACTACTGAGGACTCTGACTCCTCCTTTACCCGGTCTGCATGGGATCAGAAAACCTGCACTGTGGCCTGTCCGGCCTTTACAGCCTCTCTGGTGGCCTAGAGGTTAAGCCTCAGTGCTAACACCACTAAGGCATGAGTTTGATTCCAAGGCTCCTCAGGGGGCAGGTAGGACAATAGGTTGGGGGAAGATGTGGCCTCACACAATTCTCACCCTCTGCTTCCCTGAACACTGTTATACTTTGCAAGTAATAAGCTTCAACCTACAGATGCTATAGTTATAGTTATATACAGATGTTATAGTTTTCTTGACTCCTTTCTTTTTCAAAACCTCTATTTTATCACGTCATAATTCATAATCTGAAGTGCTCTTGAAATCCTTTGCATATTTGCAGCTCTATAGGCTCCATATTTCTCATCAGGAATTCCTTCCTCTCTCTTCAGAGTCAAGCCACCCTGTCCTTCAATGTCCCATTCAAATACCACCTTCTTTGTAAAGAGTTCTTGACATCCTTTTACCCCACACCCAACCATCCATCTATAGATCCATTCATGTCTCACCTTATCCTGAATTCAGAGAACTCTACTCGCCCTATTTGTTATTTGGTATTTGATCATGTGTAGAATTTTTGTTTTCTCTTGTGGACTGAATGTCCAGCCCTAACCACCAGAACCTGTGACTATGACATCATTTGGAAAAAGGGGCTTTGCATATGTAATTAATTAAGGCTTTTAGATCATCCTGGATTATCTGGGTGGGTCCTAAATCCAAGTGGTAAGTGTCCTTAAGAGACAGCAGATAAGAAGACTGAGTCACAACAGGCTATGTGAAAATGGAGGCAGAGATAGGAGTGATACAGTCACAAGCCACAGGACACTGAGAGTCCCCACATGCTGGAAGAGGAAGAAAAGAATCTCTCCTAGAACTTTTGGCGGGAATGCAGGCCTGCTGAGACCTTGACTTTTGATTTCAGGCTTCACAAACTGTGAGAGAATTTCTGTTTTTAATTTACCAAATGTGTGTTATTATAGAAGTTACAATAAACAGACACTTCTCATCTACACCACCAGCTCTTTAAAAACAGAGGCAGTGAGTATTACTCGTTGAATGGGGTCTTTTCTCATCTTTTAGAAAGGTAGCTGGGGCAGAGAAAAGAACACCGCAAACTGAGTCAAACGGACCAGAATGGTCCCTTCCTCACTGGAACTGTCTCTGTTCTCTGAAGCAGGGACATGTGCCAGTTCTTCCACTGACTGTGAGGGACCATGTGGAAATGGATGAGGAAATTGACAAAAGAAACTCCCTTTTACTGTGTTTGCACAGCTCTCCCATTGCCTTGTCGCCCTTTTGTGACTTGTTGCTTCACTGAAGTTTCCCCATGCTGAGAACCTGGAAAGGATGGTCATTCTGGGGTTAATGCTTAGAGAAGATGTAAGTCCTAGACAGGAAATCATAACTGGGAAAGCAGGCTTCCTGCAGCCTCTCAAGTCAGGATCTTGATGTTTCCCCAAATTGCCATATTCTTTCTTGCAGCTAGGGCTTCTGCATATATTATTTCCTCTGGCCAGAACACTTGCTTTGCTAACAGGTATGATGAGCCTCAGTTCTCAAAGGTAGGCTTCTCTGACCATCTGAACTAGACCTGAACTCCTGTCACATTGCCCTGTACATCTTGCTCAATGTCCTGACTCATTTGATATCAGACTCCATGGGCAAGAATGCTTCTTGCACTGAGCACTCTACCCCACCCTTAGGTGAAAGAAGTGGACCATTCTCCCCTCTCATCCTCTGGTAAGAGGTTACTCTCCAGTGTTGCCTCCTACACTGCCTTTAAGTCTCACTCACACTGTCAGAGGCCTATCATGGTCAGGTCTAGAAGTGATCAGTGCCCCCAAGTCTTGCATGGTGGGTGATCATTCCTCAAGATTATCCCAAGGGAGGGCGGCCTGTCTCAGGGACCAAGAGCTGGGGTTGTCATAGCTGCCCCTCCCTACCGGGAGTCTCCCTTTACTGACATCTTTGGCTATGAGGATTTAGACTTGATTTTGTTGAGGGTGCCAATCAGTGGACTTCCTTGTAACAGAATATGTCACATGAAAAAGGACTATTTCAACAGAGCATCCAGTACAAAGATTGGTAAAATGTGTACTAGATCAGGTAAAAGCTATGGGGGTATATATAGATGCCTGGTCATCTATACCTGTGTGCACATGAAAGTTGAGTTACGGGAGATGTTGAATATAAAGAAGATACTGATTTGGAATCCTGGAAAAATTAACCAGTGAATTATAGAGAGAGACACAGGTTGACTGAAAAATAGCAAGAAGACAGAGGTGCCCTTCTGGTCTGGAAGAATCCAGCAGTCCAGGTGAGTGAAGCGGGACAGCAGGAGTCTGCTGCTAGAGGCACAGAGGGTCACAGGCACTCAAGTACCCTCAAAATGGGGTCAAATTAAACTTTTCTAGAAAGGGCGCCACACGATGCTGTATCTTCTAGGACACAGGTTCTCTTCACTCCATCCATTTTGGAATCAGTCCCCCACCAATGCAGGTGGGGTCCCCAAGGTTAACATCTGATAGCACACATATAACACCAGAACGAATTGCAGAGTAGGAGGCAATAAATGCTTAAGCCAGGAAGTCTGAGGTTATAATTTATATTCACTCTTATTTCTCCATCTTGAGATAGTTCAGCCATCCTGTTTAACAAGGTGGTTGGGGCCACCCTCTCCCCTCTCCTGCTCAGCTTCACATAACTCCTCCCACCCAACTGTCTCTAGCTGGGAACCCATCCTCTCCCCAGTGCTGGCAGAGAAAGCAGTTCTAAGAGGTTCTCTGTCCCCTTGCCAGATGCAAGGAAGCCTTTCTGGTTGGGTGGAGTAGGGAGGTCAGGAGATAACTAGGCTGTGCCCTTCCCCATCAGTTAGCAGAAGGGCAGTGAGTGGGGGCTAGGCCTCTGGGAGCCCATCTACACCAGTTTCTTAGCTTTAAAGAAGCCCTTGAGATGTCGCATCTGCCAGACACCAATGGCCACAAGGATTAGGGTCTGCAGAATGGACCACCACAGAACCCGCTGGTTGGTGCTCTCGCTGGTCTGCCGGAAACGCTCTTCTTGCCACTGTGGGGGTAGGAGGGAGAATAGAAAAGGTGCCTGGCTACAGCTGAATGAACTCCCAGGGGAGGAGCTGGAAGAACTACTTCCCAGGATGTCACATATCCCCTGTCCCGACTGGGCATCCTCACCCTCTGGTACTCCTGCTCTTTCTGGATCAGCCCCACTTGCTCCACCAGCTGCTGCACACGCAGATGCAGCTGGGTCAGTTTGTCGTTGGTTTCAAATTCCGCATAATCGTTGGTGTGCTCACCCAGCTGCATGTCCAAGTGAATGGTCTGGGGACAGGTGAGCCAAAGGTGGAGGTCAGGGGAGCTCAGCTCCATGCATTGACCAGAAACACAGCTTCCTTACCCCAGTGACTGCCTGATACTGGCAGGTCAGCTCCTTACACTCATTGATACAGGGACTGGTCCTGCATTGGGTACCAGAACATCAGATCAGGACCTTGCCTGTGTGTAGTTCCATGTTCAAAAGACCGAAGGATGGGACAACATGTGCAGAGAAATAGGGGTATGTCTGAGTGTTTGACATAGGCAGTTTACTAGAAATAGGTGTTGATGGGACGTGGCCATGGAAAGCCCCGGGGACTCTTAGAGGCTGAACAGCTCTGAATTTCACATTTATGAAGTTTGGTCTTGATCCTAGGGATGGCAGGAGCCAAAGATGGATTTTAAGTTAGAGTGACTCCCTTCTGGGGGCTCCCTCTCATTCTCAGGATCTGTTTTCTGCATGTTTGCTTCATGTGAAGCCCTAGCCCTCCTCCATGGGTACCACCCACTGGGTTCTCCCACCCGAGGAAGGGAGGGTGGATGTCCCACCTGCCACACTCACCAGCTTGCCATCATAGAAAAGGGCGAAGCGGATGGACTCAAGGTGAAGACAGATCTGGTGCTCTCCAGGAGACTGGGAGGTGAAGGTGAAGCTGCCCTGAGGGCCATACTGACGGGCCAGAAGGTTCTAGAGGAAGCAGCCACAAGTGAGCACAGAGAAGCGAGCCACAAACCTGCTTCCAGGAGAGAAATAATGGGGGTATTCCAGGTCCAGAACCCCCACAAGTCAGATCAGAGGGGAGGCTGTGGGGGAAATGGCATCAGTTTGGGCTGGAAAGGCTCAGATGCCAGCATTGCTAATATATAAATATCTACAGTTTGCAAAGAACATGTCTTTTATTGAGCTGTCTACCTGTGAGGAGCCAGGCCCTGGGCTGAGAAATAGAGGCCTTGAGAGGACTTAAGAGTTATTTAAGCAGGAGACCTGAGGGGATGCAGGGAGTCAAGGCCAGCCTCACCTTGTTCTCCGGGTCCTTCACAAACACGAACAAATTGATCCACTGCGGGGAGGGCTGATACTTTTCCATAGCTGGGTCATAGAGCTCTGTCTTGTATTTTCCTAATGAAAAGGCACCCCACACTGATGACCAGAGGTCCACCCCCACCCAGGACTTCCCAGAGTCATGGGGGTCAGGAGAGGAACAGGTAGGCCCAGAGGTCTAAATGACCAAACAAATCACAGACCCATCTTCCCGACATCACATGGGTCTTTCACACCCCCAGCCCAGGATGCTCTGGCCAGAGTGCTATCCATCAATTTTCCACCCCTCCTTATCCCCACGCCCCCACCCTACTGTCCCTCTCACCCTGCTGCCCCTCCCACACACACTCGCCCCTAACTCCCCTCACCCTTTCACCCTCTCCCTCCCCTTTGCAGGGGCTGGAGGTGCTGGTCTGATACGATCCTGCAAAGCCCTGTCCCCACCCTATCTTTGCACTCAGGGTGCAGAGAGGACAACGCTTGGACTAGCCGAGCGCGCACGCACCTATGACAACGGTGCCATCAGGGATCTCCTGGATGAAGCACTTCTCCTCCAGCTCGCGGACCTCGAGGTAGACCGCGCCCCCACCGCCAGTCAGCGCCAGCAGCTGCCCCAGTAGCAGAGGCAGGATCAGCTGGGGCACCCGCGTTAGGCCCCATTCCCGCTCTGGGCCGGCCTGGGGCCCAGAGCCTCGAGCCGCGCAGGCCCCCGCCACTTTTCCCAGGCGTGTGCCGCTGGCCTCTGCGCTGGGCCTGGGGAGGCTGCGATCTCTGGCGCGGACTACAATTCCCGGGAGCCCGCGCGCGGCCCCGCCCCACGCATTCCCGCCGACCCACTCTAAGGAGGGGCCACGCGAGCGCACCGGGGACCCCACACTACCCGCTGCGCGCTCCAAAGTTCCTTCCCGGCAGCTTCTCTCTTCATTCGTGCAGAAACTCCGAGAGACTTGGGTGCTGTTGGCTCCATCCTTCTGTTGGTTAACTGAACCTGAGAGAGGGAAAAGGGCTTGCTCTCAGCGACTAGAGATGATGCTGAGAGGGACAAATCTAGGCAGAAAAACCTGGGATTGTCTAGCAGCCCGTAGGCCAGTTAAGGTTCCAGAGGAAGAACATGGGAACTTGGAAGGAGGAGGTAAGGGGGCAGGAAGTGCCAGATCCACTTGTACTGGAATCCTTCATCAGTGTCCTTGTCTCTGCTCTAGGGATCAAAAAGAAGGGGTTGTGGGTGGGCATGGAGGGTGCAAGAAGAGGCCAGCAACATAACTGGAAAAGGAAAGGGGGTAGGTGCACAACTGAAAGGGGTGGGGCCACATGACATGACCCAGGAAAAGCAAATCTCAAGAATTTCAAAGTTCATGGTGCCCTGGGATAAGCAGCATAGACTCAAACGCGCAAATATATTGAACTATGGCCCTACTTGGAGGATGCAATGAAATTCTCCACCTCCTGGTGCCTGGTGTTGATGAGCATTGATTTCTTCAACAGCATTTAATGATGATGGTGATAATAAATGATTTTATTTGTCTGTGTCAGGCACTGTTCTATTCACTAAAGTGCATTAACTGTGCTAATCTTTTAAAATTCTCTGAGATGTTAATTTCATTCCAATTTAACAACTAGGGGGAAAGCAGCAAAGAGAATTTGAGTAGTAACTTGCCCAAGGTCGCCCAAGATGACAAATGTCAGGTATTTTTTCAACAAACTGGGTTAGGTATTATGATCCACGTTGACACAAAAATGAATAGGATCTGTCTCCTAAATTCTAAGGAGCCCATGGAAAAGCAAAGGGACATTTTAGGTTAATAATATATCTTTTGGCTCCCAGGAATTATCCCCTCACGTTAGTTTTGTGACTCAAAAACCGAATGCTTTAGAAGGGTTAATTAAGACAATGTCTGAAAAGTGTCCATTAGATTTGAGAGGTGGTTGGTTCACCAGGGTATTCCTGAAGCTAGGAGGCAGCGCGAGGTGCTGTCCATGGTTCTGAACAGTCATTGCCAGTACCACAATCTATAGCAAAGGACTGGCTTTTGTTTTCTGTTTTTAATAAATTTTCCAATCCCTCACTAACTTAATACTTTTGTAAAATGCATGAAAATAAATTTATCATGATCCTTTGTGTCACACCAGTGTTAAATTTCTGTAAAACTTCCTAAATTCTTACTCTCAATTTCAATTTCACTGCGGACCTCAAACAATCATGGACCGGCACTGGCTTTGCAGACCATACAGAGCAGCATTGTTCTATTGCAGTGGTCCAGTTAGACTGCCCACAGAAAACCCCTAAAAGGACAAAAGTGGACAAAAGTGGAAATTTCTTAGGGTCTAGAATGACATACGTGTAAGAAATAGCATACTAGTGACTCATTGCAAGATTCCAAGGCCCAGGACCCAAACATTAGGAAGGATGATATGGCTCTCCAAGTAGCAAAAATATCGTGATGATGGAAAAACCTGTTTCTGACCGATGACAGGGCTGCGAATATAAGAGCAGTGAGTTCAGCATTCTGGGATTCTCCCACTTGGCAGTGATCTCATTCCACACTGGCTACCATGACCACTGAACTGGAGGCCATATGTGCAATTCTAAGGAGACACTAGGGGGTTACATTGACTTGTCCCATCTATGATTTCCTCAGAATCTTGCAGGTCTCCACTACATTCTGTGCCCTTTTTGTGATTTTTTTTTTGCTATTTATTTTTATTTACTTATGCATACAAGAACTAGGGTGTAGGCCAGAGGTGCGAGGGGTGAGGGAGAGGATTTGCCAGAGATATAGTGGGGAGCAGAACAGGCAGATCAACTGAAACATACTGCTGAGGGGAGCAGCGGGTGAGGCAGGAGATGTCTGCTGTGCCATGTGGGTTAGCTCTCTGGCTGTGGTGGTGATAGCACTGAGCCTAACCCCTGTGCCACCAGAGTGGTCCCTGTGCCCTTTTTTGGAAGATGCTTTGAGCTCTCATCTCTGCTCCCTTCTCCACCTGCCTAATTGCCATTCATGCTTAAGACTCGAGCACAGGGGCACTCTCTAAGGCATTTACTCCCCAGGGCTCCTAGGGAAGGGGGCTGTAAATCCCTCCATCATAGTGTGAACTGCATTGGATTATAACCCCCCATTATAAACAAGTCCCTCAGAAACTGACAGGTGTAAGAGATAAAGACATGGGCTTCTGCTACAAATTAATCTCCCTGCTCCCCATAGTCTAGCAAAAACTAGGAAAAGTGTGCAGTGAATGTTTGGTTAGAGAAATGCAATAAAGAGGATGGGGGCCTCCCTGGTGGTGCAAGGGGTTAAGCACCGCGCTATGAAGCAGTCCACAGCCTCTGCAGCACGAGTTTGATTCCCAGTCGGCCAGGGAGCAACCCACATGGCGCAGCAGACCTCGCCTATCTCACCCGCTGCTCCTCTCAGCAGTGTATTTCAGTCAGTCTGCCTGTTCTGCTCCCCACTCTGCCCCTGGTGAATCCTCTCACCCCCCACACCTCTGGCCTATACCCCAGTTCTTGTATGCATAAATAAATAAATCTTTTTTAAAAAAGTAGTAGTGCTATTTAAAAAAAAGAGGATGGAAAGAGGAAAAGAGAGGATATAGAAGGGGAGAGTAGAAGGAAAAGGAAATAAAAAAGAAGTGAGAGAGGGAGAAAGAAGGAGGAAGAAATCAAGGAAGAAGGAAGGAGAGGAGAAGAAGGTAGAAGAGTAATAGCTATAATTGTAGGAAAAGCCAAGATTTCTACATTCTTCTGCCTGGCTTTTCTTGTTATTCCCAGTAGGCATCTCAAGTTAGAGATTGTGGGAAAGGGTGCACCAGGAATAACATGCTTTGCACACGCCACTGTCCATGGCCCCACCATGCCACTGTCCCTTCCACTGGACCATTGGTCTCTGTGATATTCTTCACTGGTGTACAGAAAAATGCCTTCTGTTTCTCTGGACTATCTCTCCAAAGGGATTTCCTATGAAAGTTTTTTTTCCCTTGTGCTCTCTGTACCAGAACACCTTGGCATTGGAGGATATTTTGTATTGAATCCAGGGCCATCAAGAACAGTGTCGTGCTGGAGCCAACCTGGAATTAATCATTGTTCCCGTTCTCTCTGGGCTCATACTGGCCCCTCTGGCAGAATCCTTCCACTCTGGTGAGCTTTTTCAACTATTCCCCCATCTCTCTCTCCAGTCCATTCCTCTTCAGGGTTTTGGAGAGTTCATTCCACTGGTCTGTGTGACTGAACCCACATTGAAGGTATGGCTATCCCTTTCCTCCTCCCAGGCTGTGGAGGTTCCCATAAGTAGGGCAACTCAAGGGGAGTGGCTGGACTGTTCATGTTCCCTGGGAGTCAGGAAGCTATTGATCCAGAACTGGGTCTCTTCTTGGGGCAGCATGACCAAATGCCATACTCCAGCCCACCTAAATATTAGCTCTTCTCCAGCCAAAATGACATTACACTTTCTCACAGTTCCTCAAACGTCCCCAGTATCTTGCATAAATCTCCTCTAGGTGTGTAAAGAAATGAATAGACTTGGCTGAGGCACCAGAACATCTCCCTGGGCTCAGCTCCCATCCAGGGCAAATCCTCTCCCCTCATTTGATAAACCTGGACATGGGGAGCAGATTTCTCAGCCCATCTTCTGTTAATCACTACCCTTTCTGTCTCTCTTCAGTCTTCTGCATTTGGGAGTTCTCATTCTTCAGGTTCAAAGAGCATTCATTGTCCATAAGGAGATAAAACTGGAAGAAAGGGAAGGGAGGGGACATGGTAGAGAGACCAAGGTAATGGAGAAAAGAGGAGGAAGAGGTAAAAGCAGAGTAACAGGTGTTCTATAGTTTCTTCCCTTTCTCTTATATTTTCCATTTTTCCTCCCTGTATCTCCCATACTTCCTTCCTCTTCTTTAGTTTTAATATGTAGGTTTTATTATTATTGAGTCATGATAAGATCCGGGAATGAGCAGAAAGTTGCCATTAATAAGATAGTTTGTTATAGGTTCCAAGAGGTGTTAGTACACCTTGCCATGCAGGGCCATATGGGAAAGCACCAGGGTTGGCCCTGAGGCAGAGCAGTGAGGGGAGAGCATGAGTAAAGGCCTTTACTGTATTGTGTTTTTCATGGGAAGAAATAGGCAAGGCAAGACTGCTCAGAATTGGCTAGTTTGAATAATTTCATCAGACTCTTGGGTGTAGGGGCTGCTTTGAATTGTCTGTCACTTGGTCCTGAGTTGATTAAGGTGGGAAAAACTGGCATGGCACGTGAGAGTTCAATAAGAGAGGTGGCTGTGGGTGTGTGCTTTGGATTGATTGGTTTGCAAAGGAATGTTGCAATCTTATGGGAGTCCTTTTCTGTTCTCTAGGAATCAGCCCAGGAGGGGCAGGCTCATGGTCAGCTGAGACCCCAGATGCTGGAGTATCAAGAATATAGAAAATAAAAAAGGAATTATTAATATAACTCCCAACCCTTGTCTGCATGGTGTTTCCAAGTGACCATGGCAGCACTTTCTTCCCACATCTAAAGGGCTTTAAAAGTCAGGTGAAGGAGATAGGACGGGGGAGGGAGGAGCAAAGTAGGTCACAGGTCTGCCCCCTCTTGGACGGGGGTGGAGAGCAAAATGAGATAATTGGGCTCCCCCTGTTGAAGCTGCCAGGATACTACTGTGTCTAGCCTGATAAAACACAAGCCATGTTTCAGGCTTCGAAGAACATGGTGTCTTGCTTGCCTCCTAGCCTCATCCCTGGAACATGGTTTCAGGATTCGAGACTGGCTCTGCCATTAGTTGACTAAGTGACCTTGGACTTGTAACTTCCCTTCTCTGGTCCTTAGGTTTTCTCACCCCCAGAGCCGCTCCAGGCAAGGTTCAACTCCCTAGGCTTCTAGTTCCTGTTGCAGAGCTCTGTCTCCCAGGGAGCTCTGTCAAGCACCCAGCCTGCAGGTCCCTATTGTGTGTATGCTTGTCAGATGAATGGGTCCATTCACCAGAGAAGAGGAAGAAGGGCACCTCAGGGCTGCTCCCTGAGTTTGGGGGAAGGCAGTGCTGATGTTTGTCTCCTGAGGTTGGGTGTTTTCCTGGTAAGCTTCCCCTTTAAGAACAGGGGGGTGGAATCAAAGTAAAGTAAGTTCTCCAATTTATCATCAACACTGATTAACACTTGATTTCCAATTTTCCTGTTCCCCTGAAAACACAGACACACACACACACACACAATTTTCCTACTGCTACCTTCTTTAATTTTCCTCTATTATTTAACCCCACATGAGCCTTCTTTTCCTGTTACTGCTCAGATTTTCATTTCTTGGTGTTCTCTGAGCTGTGGTCCTGGACTTTGGATAATAGTCTTTTCTCAGCTATGTAGTTTGCAAAGATTTTCTTGTGATTTGTGACTTCATTTCTCATTCTCCTGAAGATAGCCTTTCAACAAGCAATACTAGAGCAATTTGCCATCCTTAGACACACACACACACACACACACACACACACACACACACACACTCCTTGACCCCAGATCACATCTTATACAAAAACTAACTCAAAATACATAATATACTTAAATGTAAAGTGTAAAACTATAAAACTTTTAGAAAAAAACAGGAGACAATCTTAGGGATCTAGCATTAGGTGAAGAATTCTTAGATTCAACGCCAAAAGTGTTACAGGAACCCAGATGCCTCAGCGGTGGGAGCCGGCAGTAGCAGTGATGTTCTTTTGCCCTGCTGATCCACCACAAGTCAGTTGTGGCAGTTGCTCCTCAGAGATCAGAAACTGCCATTTTGTCAGTTGTGGCAGTTGCTCCTCAGAGACCTTTTATGTAACAGTGTACTTCCTGGATTGTGGAATGGATCAGTCAAGTGTGAGCTATGAGTTGACTGCTGCTAAATGGTCCAGTCAGCTACAGGATTGAAAAATGGTCCAATCAGACTTGTGGGTGGGGCACCCTGAAAGATGATATAAGCCAGGGTCTGAGGGAGCTGAAAGGGAGATGACACCAATCCCTGAAGGGAAGAGATGATGCCAGCCCCCCAAAAGGAAAGATGACTCCAGAGCCCAAACAGGAGAGATGACTCCAGCCTCCAAAGAAAGAAAGGGAAGACTCCATTGCTGACCTCCAAAGAAAGAAGAAAAGAAGCATCCAGCAGCCCACCTCCAAGGAGGGAAGAGAAACCGAAGGACTCTGCCACACACTGGGCCTCGGTCCTGTCTCTGACATTGCCTGAAAGGAGCACCAAAGGCCCTGGGTGTGGTGTCTCAAAGAGCTGTTTGTTGTTGGTGTGGCCCAACAACTCACAAAGAACTGTTAACAATGGGTGTCTCTGACATCACTTCTGAGGGCCCAGTAGTGACCAGTGCTGTCCAGCACTCCTGGTGACTGGTGGTGACCATCACTGACACTATCTGGGTAGATAGTCACCACTTGTGGATACAGTGAGCTCTTTGTTTCCCCTGTTTATAAAATAAACCCCATGGTTGTTGTTCCTGGAGCCTAAGGACTCTTGCAATTTTGTGCGCAGGTGAGAACCACAGACAGCGACCTGTCCTCTTATTGGGCACTGTCCTTTGCTAGGCTCTAGCCATAGCCCCTATTGTGTAGGTGTTGTATTGCTATAGCCCGTGGTTTTGATTTTTGGCCTTTGGGGGATTTTTGGTGACTCTCCTGTCTCAGAGCCCAGGCAGGTGGGTGGCGGTTCCATCCATCTGGGCTCCTGCCTTGTTACCCTGTTAGCCCCTGTTTCAAAAACACAATCCATAAAAGGAAAAATTGATAACTTGGACTTCATTAAAATGTAAAAATTTTGTTGTGCAGAAGACTATGTTAAGAGAATTACAAAATATAAGCTACAGCCTGGGAGACAGCATATAATGGACCATTAAAAAAAAATCCTTTCCACCAATCTTTGTCTTCTAAGTTTTAGGGTTTAATCCATTTACATTTAAAGTGATTATTAATAAAAAGGTATGTCTTCTGTCATTTTGCTACTTGTTCTCTATTTGCCTTGAAGCTTTTTTGTTCCTCATTTCCTGTATTATTGTCTTTTGTGTTTAATTTTTTGTACTGAAATAAGTTCCTTTTTCATTTTCTTTTGTATATACTCTTTAGCTGTTTTCTTTGTAGTTGCCATGGAGATTACATTTAACATCCTAAAGTTATAACACTTTAATTTTAACTTATATGAGTTTGTCTTCAATAACATACAAAAGCTCTGCTCCTTTAACAGCTCTGTTCTATTTCTGTTGTTGATATCTCGAAATTATATATTTATACATTGTATGTAGTGGTTACTTTTCACTATAAAAGAAACTAACTTAATGTATGCAGTACATGAATACATTTCCAGAGAATTATGCTGAGTAAAAAAACCTAATTTCAATAGATCACACACTATATCACTCCATCTGTTTAACATTCTTAAAATGACATTTATAGAAAGAGAGAAGTCAGATCAGTTGTCTGGGGTTAAAGAGGGGGTGAGACAGTAGGAAAGTGGGGGTGGCTATAATGGAATAACAGGAGGGTTATTGTGGTTTCTATCTCGACTCTATCAGTGTAGATATCCTGGTTGTGATTGCCTGATTACCTAGTTAAGATTGGGGGAATCTGGGTAATGCAGAATCTGTCTGCATTATCTCTTATAACTATAAGAAACTATAGTTTCTTGCACTATAGTGCATGTGAAACTATAATTATCTCAATATAAAAGGTTTAATTTTGAAAACACCTGAAACTAATATAATAAAATGTTTTTATTCTGTAATTTGTTAATTCTGAATGGGGATGACATTAGCTGTAATGTACATAATTACAACAGCACTAAGAAAAGCACAACCTGTAATTCACAGAAGAAAACTAATGACAAAAAAGTTCATTATCCAGGAAATAAAAATAGATTTTTCATCAGTAGATGAAAAATTGTTAAGATTATAAAGGTTGAAAATGGCTGAGCAGGATGTTGGAAAGTAAGCACTTCAACACAGGATTGGTGGACTTGAAAATTGTTACATAGTTTTTGGGAGGGCAATTTTGTGATCTCTGATCAACAAAAGCTATGTCCTACAGTAATGCTTTTTAGAAAATGAACATGTATTTTTATTGCAGCATTTTTTGTAAGAGCCAATAATTAGGAGGGACCACTTTCATCAGAACAGTTAAAAATAATAAGGTGCATTAATATAATGAAATGTTACTGTTATGAAAAATTAGAGATGTTCTGATGAGGGCTAACCTGAACACATTCCCACTGAACTTCCCTCCCTATGGCCAAATGAAAACAGTAAGAGGGCGATATAGAAAGAAAACCTCCAAATTCCATGAAAACTTAAGGCAACAATCACACACTAACTTCGAAGAAGGGCTGCCAAAATGAACAGAAACTGGAATAAAATCCAGGGAAGATGCACCCAGACCTCCGCTGATCTCACACTGCACAGCTCTCCAAAACAGGGCGGCCCCAAGACCCCCACTAATACCACTTTACCTGCAGGTCACTGGGGCACCGAACCCTGGTCCAGAGCGAGCCATCACTGTGTGGCTAGTATCCCAACAGCAAAGGATGAGTGTGGAGAGTGCCCGGGAACCTAGAGACCAGATTAGGGGCGATTGGGGGGCGGGGAAGAGAAGTGATAAAAGAGAACTTTGGCTTTTCATTTTGTATTTCAATCTTTTCGACACTAAATTCGTACATCTTTGTGTCATATTTTCAAAAACACAAGCGAAACTTGAGTGGCGGATGCTTACGCCGAGGAAAGACCCGAGTTCATAGGTTCGAATTCTGTCTGTGCTCGTAAAGCCCTCCGCGACCACAAAGTCTTTCATGATCAGCAAAAAAAGGTGATAATCGTCACCAGTAGGCGGACTACAACGAGGATCAACATAAACACTTTTTCAATTCTGGGGCCCCAATTCCTGACTAGTTCAGATCCGCACCCCAATCACGTCGTGCCGCGCCACGGCTGCGAGGCATCTCGGGACTTGTAGTCCCTGCGACCGGACTCGCTGTCCCCGCAGGCCCCGCGGCGGCGGCTCTGCTACGTGGCGCAGCCCGCTGCGCCTGCGCGGGCAGGTGGGGAAGATGGCTGCGGTGCAGGGTGTGCCGGCTGTCCGGCCCGGGCCTGGAGCTGGGCTGGCCGGTGTGTTTCGGGCTCTCCTTCTCCTGCTGTGGTTTGCGGCTCGCGGAAGCGCGCTCTATTTCCACATCGGAGAGACGGAGAAGAAGTGCTTTATTGAGGAGATTCCAGACGAGACCATGGTTATAGGTGCGGGGGGGAGGGGGAGAGTTTGGATGTGGGGGCGCGGGATGCGGTAAGTTGGCAGTTCACAGCCTGGAGCAGGCGGCCGCGCGATCCTGGCGGCCTGGACCCAGCCCCACCTCGCGCTCTCCTGATCTGGGCTTACTCCACTTTCCTCCAGGAAACTACCGGACGCAGCTATATGATAAGCAGCGGGAGGAATACCAGCCGGCGACTCCCGGGCTTGGCATGTTCGTGGAGGTGAAGGACCCAGAGGACAAGGTGAGTTTGCCCCTTAGCCCGGAGCCCTTGCTCTCCACTTCGGCGCAGGCATTGGTACTTCCCCTTCTAGTTTCCGCTGCTGTTAAACTGGTCAGAAGAGTTGGTGTTGGGAAGAGATACCTGGTTTTCACTCCGGGCCAAACTTGGGGGTTGCTGCAGTTATAGCAGCTCCACTCAATTTCCTGTTGACGGCTGCGTGACTTCCCGCCAAGTCAGTTCACTTTCCCGAGCTGTTTTCACGGTCTGTGAAAGGAAATTCACCAGTTTTTCTAGGTATGATGGGCGGACTTAATTGTAGTGCTGGAAATCAAAGTGTTTTGTCACCTTTAAAGCTGTGACATCCAGGCTTTAGGATTTCAAAAAACAAGTTACTTTCCAAAAAGAAGGAGCTGCACCACACCTAATTGTATCTTTGACAAATACTAAAACACAAAATCTTTAAGCTGTTACCTTTCATTAAACTCTCTCTCTCCCTCTCTTCCCCCCTCTCTCCCTCTCTCCATCTCCCTCATTCCCTCTCTAACTCTCCCCTCCTCCCTCCCTTTCCCTCCTGCTCTCTCCTCTCTCACGGAAAGCCCTTCCCCAGAGCAGTCATATACCAGCCCAATGTCAGACTTCACCCTTGCCCCAAATAGTTCTCAGACATGCTTTTGGCAAATCTACTGAGCAGATTTGGATGGTTTTGTGTAGTGGGGTGCCTGAGGCCCTTAAAGACACTTAGAGCCTTAAGTACAGTTTTTTTCCAGCTCCATCCATATACTCAATGAAGCCCTTTCTCTCCAGGTCATCCTGGCCCGGCAGTATGGCTCTGAAGGTAGATTCACTTTTACCTCCCATACCCCTGGTGAACACCAGATCTGTCTTCACTCCAATTCTACCAAGTTCTCCCTCTTTGCTGGAGGCATGCTGGTAAGTGGACCCAAGTGGGACTCAACTTTCATCCTGTATACTCTGGTCAGGACTAGAGCATGACATACCTTGGGTGTGAGATGAGTGTATCGGATTTTGTGCTCCTAAATATGACTGGATTTTTAGTAACTATCCAGGACATGGTTGCTGAGTTCTTTGTACGTGACTTGGTCGGAGCATCAGCCAAAGCTTATTCTCACCTGCGCGACTTAGAGCCCCAAAGGGCTGGGTACTGATGAGACCTCAGTGAGTGTTGGCTAACTGCACAAATGAAGGAGGTGGGGAGAGTGTGAGGCTTTCTTGCTCCGTGGCAGGAAGATGGTGTAGGACTACCTCAATCTCTGTATCTTGTCTGCCCCCAGAGGGTTCACCTGGATATCCAGGTGGGTGAACATGCCAACGACTATGCAGAAATTGCTGCCAAGGACAAGCTGAGTGAGTTGCAGCTACGAGTGCGGCAGCTGGTGGAGCAAGTGGAGCAGATCCAGAAAGAGCAGAACTACCAACGGGTAAGTAGATGGGCTGGGAACAGTGGGCTTCTTCCCAGAAACCTTTCCTGTTCCCACCCTTCCCCAACTCAGCCAGGACATCATGTCAGATTAATGATGAAACCCAAGGGACTTACCAAGGGCTGCATAGCAAGCCTAAAAGGTGGCATGGGTATTACTAATTCTACTTTGTAGTTAGGGGACAGATTCTTAAGAGGTTGTCATTGCTCTAAATCACAGTCACATACAAAGTAATGGTAGGAATTAATACCAACATCTTGGGTACTAGTTCCATGTCTCCAGGTGCCCCCGGGACCAGAGGTTTCAAACTCACCTGTGTCTAGGACCCATGCCGGTACTATGAATGGATGTTACTTTAAGGACTAGTAGAACAATGACCTATCTAAACCAGAACAGCTACTGTTAATTGTCAGCTCAGTTTAGTCTTAAAGAAATGCTAACTCTGGGTTTTAAGAGGAACCTGAGGTACAGGGTTTTTTTTTGTGAAAAATGTCTTTGTTTTAAATGTTGGCAAAATACTGAGAGCCAAACAAAACACCTGTGGGCTGAATCCCATCCTTGGGCTACCAGTTTGTAACCTGTGCCCACAATCTTCAAGTAGCAGTTGGGTGAGCTGGGAAGAGGGCCAAGTGAGACCACTCCTGGACAGCCCTGTCTAATGGAGTGCCAGAAACACAACTTCATCTTTCTCCTGGCACCAGGGTAGGACCAGATGAGGACTGTACCTGACAGATGAGCAAACTTAGGAGAAATGAGTAGGTTGCCTGGGGTCACCTGAATGGTGAGAGTGAACACAGGTCCCAGCAGGGCGGCTCAGCTCTTTGCGGGCACTTGGCTGGAGCCTGGCAAAGCTCGTTAGCTCTGGGGCATCCTCTAGGGAGAGAACCCAGCAGTTCTAGTAGCCCCATGTGGGACCCAGCCAACTGAGGCCCCTTTTCCATTTCTGTTCCCACAGTGGCGAGAGGAGCGCTTCCGGCAGACCAGCGAGAGCACCAACCAGCGTGTGCTGTGGTGGTCCATTCTGCAGACCCTCATCCTTGTAGCCATTGGCGTCTGGCAGATGCGACACCTCAAGAGCTTCTTTGAAGCCAAGAAGCTGGTGTAGCCATTTCAGGCCTCACCGGCCATCCTTCCTCCCAGGCTGGGGGAGAAAGGGCCTTTGGAACTGACTTCTCTCTGACAGGAGGACAGGAGTTACCAGCCTTGTATGTTCTGGAGGGGAGAGGGGCCATGGGCTCCCCAGGCACAAGCCGAGGCTTGTGCACTGGCTGGCTAATCCTGAGCAGGTAGTGGGACAAATGCCTACCCCTGCCCTGGGCCCTTTGCAGTAATCACCCAGGGGCTGGTGAAGCAACTGGGAACACCATTGGCACCTCAGAATCACAGTGTTACTGATCAGGGAAGTGAGGTGGTAGTCTGGGGTGGCTGGGGGGAGGGGAGTGGGTGGGCATGCCAGTCTTCCTTTTGTCTTCCTTTGCTAACTTGAGATTTTGAGCAGGTTTGGGTGTGACTGATTCCCTGCCTCCCTGGGAACCTCAGTGTTCCCTCCTTGGTCCTAGAACTCAGCCTGCTGATCATGGTGTGTGTGTCAATTGAGGATGGGGTAGAGCGGGTTATGGTGTGGGAAAGTGCCCTGAGGTTGACCCCGGCATCTTCATATGGTTGTCCTTTCTGGAGCTTGAGGAACCAGGGTCAAGCCAAGCAGAGGCCTTGGTGCTGGTTGGTACTGGGTCTACAGAGTCTTAGTTACTGATTTCATTTTCAATAAGTCTAGGTTTGTTACATTGGTTTCCCAATAAAAGAAATTGACTTCTTGTCCAGTGTGGAGTTACTCTGCTGTGTGTAGGCATGATTCTGCAAGGTGCTTCACGAGTTGTCAGTTCTAATGGGCAAAGCATTTCACAGTCCAAGATGAGTACCCACTTGTGAACTTCGTACTTTCCTGTAGCAGGGCTAGTGGGTTTGTCCACAAACAACAAGTAAATCGTGGGGTTGGGGCTTGAGCACACGCCATTTGGTCTCGTGCCAGCTCCCATTTGAAATGCTCTCCCTGCCTTTCCAGAGTAGGTGGACAGAACTGTAGGTGCTACAAGGAAGGGAAGGTAGTGTGCATTGAAAAGAGAAGTGCTGCAGGTGTGGGAAGCACAGAAGTCCCCGGGCTGGCAGGGTAAGGTTACCTGGCTGAACTAACGGTATGGGATTGCTGTTGGGGGAACAGAGGCAAACTGCTGGTAGGGAGATAGGGGGCATGGTTTCAGTGGGACTTGATGGAAAGTTGTAAGAAAGCTGGAAAGGAAGGTTGGTTAGAAGCAGAAGGGCCTTGGGCCTCCCTGGTGGCGTTGGGGTTAAAGTCTCAGCCCTATGAAGCTATCACCAGCCACTGCAGCATGAGTTTGATCCCTGGCCAGGGAGCTAACCCACATGGCACAGCAGACCTCTCCTGTCTTGCCCGCTGCTCCCCTCAGCAGTGATATTTCAGCAGATCTACCTGTTCTGCTCCTCACTCTTGTCTCTGATGAATCCTTTCACCCCCACCCCCAACCCTGCGCAGCTCTGGTCTAGACCCTAGTTCTTGTATGCATAAATAAATAACATAAATCTTACAAAAAAAAAAAAATGTAGAAGGGCCTTGAGCCCTAGATGAGAGATTTGGACATTACCTGCTATTCAGAGTTTTGAATAGGAGACTCCCTTGAAGCTAAATATGAAGGAGGTTAATCTAGCAGTGAGGACAGGGTGGGAAAGGGTGGTGGGAAGACAAATTTGGGTCTTAATCTGAGCTCACATTGCCACCTACACCCACACATTTAGAAAAAACAAATTTCCATACCTTTAGAATTTCAGAAAAATTGTGAGGATAGTTTTCATTATTAAGGTTGCACATTTGTATGATTCATTTGTTAATGTGCTGATAGCAATACATTATTTTAAATAAATTCCATACATCATGCTGATTTTTTAGTTGTTACTAATGTACTTTTTCTGTTCCAGGATTCCACCTAGGATACCACATTACACTTAGTTGTCTCCTTGAGCTTTTGACTGTGACAATTCCTCATACTTTCCCTGTTTGTTGTTTTTAATTACTTCGACAATTTTCAGGACTACTGGTCAGGTATTTTGTAGAATTTCCCTCAGTTGGGATTTGTCTGCTGTTTTTCTCATTATTAGACAGGGTTTCTGGGTTTTTAAAAGGAAGACCACAAAAGTAAAGTGCCATTCTTATCCCATAACAACGTGACTATGGGTGTCACTGTTTAAAATTAATTTTGGGGAGCCTCCTTGGTGGCGCAAGGGTTGAGACGCAACCTATGAAGTTGTCTGCAGCCACTGCAGCATAAGTTCGATTCCCGGCCAGTCAAGGAGCAACCCACATGGTGCAGCAGACCTCTCCTGGCTTGCCCACTGCTTCCCTCAGCAGTGTGCTTTGGTCAATCTGCCTGTTCTGCTCCCCACTCTGTCTCTGGTGAATCCTCTCACCCCCCTGCGCCTCTGGCCTGTACCCCAGCTCTTGTATGCATAAATAAATAAATCTTAAAAAAATAAAATTAATTCGGATTAATTAAAGTTAATTTGGATTTTTATGAGAAATCTGGTTTGTTGAGGTAAATCAGATATGATATTATTGGGCCTGCTGACATGACAAAAATTAGCTGAACCAAATGGTAGTGTGTACCCTTGGGCTTGTGCACTCCAGGTCACAGTGCTACCTCCCTCTTCCATCATTGACCTTATCCAGCTGGTATTTGGGGTGTCAGCCTAAACTTGTCATCAGTCGCTTCAGCAGAACTTGTCAAGATTCTGATATAGGGTGCAGTGCTCTGGGAAAGTTCCTGCTGAACTTTCCCATTTGTAATCTTCCAGGAAGCAGAGTGGCTGAGACTACAGATTGTGCAAACAAGCTGCCTAAATTTACATCCTGAATTGCCCCTGTGTGCCTCACTCCTTCATCTTTAAAGTGGACGTGATAAATACAAAACTCTTAAGGAATGGATGAAAAAAGAATGTAAAACAATGACAGAGTACGAAATCAATAAATGTTAGTTATTTCTCAGGGAACTTAAAATTTGCCTGGGAGAGCAGAGAACATCAAGTGTAATTGCTATTCTCCTTTTCCCAGATGGGAGGTTGGGCCAGCGGGGACGGGGCAGGGTTAAGATGCCACAAGCGACAAGGCAGATAACTCAGTCTTACTCCCCTCTTCAGTTCTCAATTCTATCAAATTCCCCCTTCCCTGGATGATAGCTATCATTTAGGTAGCGTAGACTATGTGCCTGACACTGTATCAAATATGTTTGCATTTTCTCCTTTAATTCTACAGCACGTAGGTCAGGAACCATTTATACTCTCACGTTGAAGTGTTGAACAGGCAGTGTCAGGTTTCAAATCCAGTCAGTCTGTGTTTAATGCCCTCCTGCCTCCTAACTACTACTTGGAAGATGGGCTGCACCCAAGACGGAGCCCTGAACTTGATCCTGCCCCCAGCCTCACCAAGCTTGTTGAGGAAGAGTGCACTACCGGGGTCTAGGGCAGGGATGCCCAGAAATTCCCCGCCTTCTTCAGGAAGAGGAGGAAGAGGCAAATGATTCGACAGCACTGGTTTGGGTGTGTGGAGTCTAAATCCAGCCTCATTCCAGTGCCTCGAGCCGCCTCTAGGGCCTCAGATTCTCGGCCTGTCCAGCGAGTCCGCGGCGAGCAGTTGCCGGTCAGCGGGTTGGGGAGCTCGGGGACTCTCGCCTCCTCCGCTCGCGGAACCTTTACCGCCGCGGCGCAGGAAGCAGACGGCGTGACCGGAGCAACGGACTCGGGGACCGAGGGGCGGGGCGGGGCGGGCGGACCTGGGCGGGGCGGGAGGCGGAGGCGCCGCGTAGGCCCGGGAGGCCGGGCCGGCGGGGCTGGGAGCCCGAGCCCCATGCGCCGCCGCCTCCCCCGACGATGTTCCCCTCCCGGAGGAAAGCGGCGCAGCTGGCCTGGGAGGACGGCAGGTGAGCCGCGGCGGCCGGTCGGGCCCCGTCCTCCTGGGTGTCCATCCTTTCCGGGCCGCCCTGCGGAGCCCGAGGCCGTCGCGTCTCCGTCTCTGCGGGGCTCTCGGGGGTCTGTGCTTCTCCTTGTGAGTCACTGACTCCGTTTGTGGGCCTCTCTCGCTTTCCATGTGGGTCTCGTTATCAGTCGTCTCTGCGCGCCTTTCTGTCATTCCCGGGGCTGTGTTTCTCCGTTGACTTCCTTTCTGAGTTTCTGTCTCTCTCTTTGCGAGTTTCTTTCCCTCGTTATGGGTCTCCTCGTGTCTGTGTGTCTCCTGTCTTCGTGCTGGTCTCTGACTCCGTTGACTTCTCTCAGTGATCCGTCTTTCTGTTTGCCCCTGACCTCTGAGGGTCTTTATTCCCTTCGTTTCCATCCATCACATCCATTTAGCTTTAAACCCTACCCTCCTTCCTTCGAGATTCCCCATCTTGTGTTGACCACCCAGAGAAGCACCCGGACAGAATGCTGCTCAGTATACTCTGCTTCTCTGGCCATTGCCAGGCACGTAATAGTCACTCCTCACACACAACACTAGTTCATTTCCAGTGCAGCAGGACTTGAATGGGGCCTGCTTCATGTAGTAGGTGTGAGCTTGGCCACGACCTTTGCTAATGATGTTTCCCACTAAAGCAAAATTGGGGTGAGGAAGCTGTTGGCCTAAATTTGAGAGATACCCAATACTTAAATCTTGTGATGTAACTCCAAAATTCTTTTCACTCAGAACACGTGATAGTAGGTCTCTATCCAGTGAATAACACCTCGTTTCCTTTTTGTCTCTCAAGTTTGCCAGGTGCCTAAAGATTTTGGAGTATAGTGGGTACAACTCTTCACATACGGGCATTTTTGAGACTTAGTGTTGAAATAGGAAGATTGGACTATAGTAAAAAGAAAGCCTGCAGCATGGAGTTGGCTCTGGGCAGGCATCCTCTTTAATAGCCATGTGACCAGAACCAGATCACTTAATCTTCCTGCCCTCAGTTTTTCCATCTGTGAAACAGGAATCATACTATCTACTCTGAGGGACACTATGAGGATTACAGGGATTCATATATGAAAAATTCTTGACACTATGCTTGGCACACAGGAGGTTTTTTCCAGTTACCTTTGCAATTGGGAGATGCTATAAACAGAGTAGCTACATAGTCAAACCTTGTATCACTAAAGTTTGTGTGCAGGAAGAAAGAAAAGGTAATGGAGAAGAGTTTCCATTTCCTGATTCCTTTCATAACCTTTGGAACTTAATCATGTCCCCAGAAAAATTGACTGGCTTTTGACACGGGTACAAAGATCCATGCAACAGATGCAAACTAGTGTAGCAACTACTGGAGCAACTAGTGTAGCTGGCTCTGGAGCCAGCCTACCTGGGTTTGAGTCTGCCTTTTGCAAACCTTGGGCACGGATTGATAAAAGGAGACAAAACGACTGAAATGCCCCTCGCAGCAGGGTGGGCTGGGTGAGGGCCGCTCGGACTGCAGGTCTAGAGTTCACCACCAGGTGGCGCCAGAAGCAACTGTTTTCAATGTGCCCTGTACTGCGGAATTGGGACTTGGTTCTGAATTTATTTGCTCAGCTGTTTGGGCCTTCGGGCTCAGAATGAGAGTGCCCATGGGAATGTGATCCTGGTGGAAAGGGGAAGCTGGACCAAGCTGACTGGCATGTGAAAGAGCATGGAATGCCCAAATCCATGCCTTACCGTGCATAGTGATCACTGCTTCTTCTCCCAAAGGTGGGATAGTCCCCCTTGTCCATCTCCCTCGTCTCTGCCTCACCCCCAGAAAGAGCTCAAAGGGCAAGAGAGAATCTGTAGAGGTTCCCTTCTTTCCAGGTCAGTCTCAGTATTGGGGCCCACTGCTCCCAACAGGAAACCCCCACCGCTGGATAAAGGGGGGTAAGTCAGAAGCTCTGCAAGGGTGTTCTACCCAACCATCTCTGCTGTGTGTGTGACCTGTGCTTGGCTTCAAGTTGCTGACTTACAAGTTAGCAGTTGTGCCTCTAGAGAAAAGTATAAGTTGGTCTGGCTCTAGTGTGTGACTTAAAGCATGCCCTGATTGTTGGACCCTTCCTGTAACCCACTTAGCAAGTGCTCTGCTGTCTGATGTGACTGGGGCTACAGAGGTGAACCAAATTATATGAGGGGGAGACAACCAGAGACATGGGTGATTACAAAACTCGAAATGCTTCAAAGAAAGAAGTACTAGATCCCATGGGGACACAAAAGAGTGGGCATGTGCTCAGTTTGTGTGCACATGATGATGGTGAGAGCACTGCTGACCTTGACATTGGAGTTTGGCCCTGAAGGATCAGCTAGGGGCTTCCAGGCAGATAAAATAAAGAAGGGCACTTCAGACAGAAGCAGCTGGCCATGTAAATGCCAGCTCACAGAAGGAATATAGTGAGCAGAAAAGCTGGGAAGGACTCAGTGTGATTGCACTGGGTGAGTGGGAGGGAGCAGCAAGAGATGGGGCTTGGTCACAGAGGGGTTGTGCGGCCCGGTCAAGAAACCTGACTTTCATCTTGTAAACACAAGTGACTTATGCAGAGAGCAAAGGGATCTGCCTGAGCAGGGGAAGACTCTGATGAGACAAGCTAAAAGAGAGTCTGGGTGAGGAAAGACCAAAGGGGCGCGTAGGAGGTGGAATCTAACTGGTGATTCTTAGAGGCTCAGAGCAGATTTCCTTGCAGATTGTTTCGGGGGGAGTAGCAGAGATGACACTTTCCTTTTCTTGGCTTCCTCAGCTCTGCCTTCACCATTCAGGGGATCTTTTGGTAAAAGGGACAAAAGAAATCAGGTGAATTCCACCTGTTTCTTTGTACTTTCTAACCCAAAGGCCAGTCTCTCCCAGGACTAACCCACTGCTTAAGATACTCAGCTGTTTTTCCAGGTTCTGAAAAATGTCTGGGTGCTGTGCCCTTCTCTCGCCTTTCTTTCCTTCTCCCTTCTCTCAACTCTTGTTGTGGTTAGACTGAGGCTTTGAGACCCATTCAATGAACTGCCACTGTCATTTTGGGCCTTGCTTGGGTTGGGGCAGATCTGAACTTCCCGGAGGAAACATTGGTCTTTTCTCCAGGACAGATAGCAGCCCATGCCCCTTCTCATACTAGCTTTCTTTTTTTTTTTTCTTTTTTTTTTTCCCCAAAGATTTATTTGTTTATACAAGAACCGGGGTACAGGCCAGATGCACGGGACGGTGAGAGGATTCACCAGAGACAGAGCAGGGAACAGAACAGGCAGACTGATGAAATACACTGCTGAGGGGAGCAGTGGGCGCAACAGGAGAGGTCTGCCGTGCCATGTGGGACCCTCGCTGGCCGGCTGGGATTGAACCAGCGCTGCAGAGGCTGCGGACAGCTTCACAGCGTGGCGCTCAACCGCCTGTGCCACCAGGGGAGGCCCCTCATACTAGCTTTCTAGTATGAGAAGCAGGACGAAACAAGGTTTCTGCTGGGATTGAACCTACTGGGAAACTGGTGTGGAAGGTGGATGGCTCCTGCCATCAGCTCAGAGCATGAGCCACTGTCCTGGGGAGAAGCAAGTACCAGAGGCAAGGCGTCTGTTCCCTGCCCTTGCACCGCTTAAGGTCAATCACAGTAAAGAAAGAGCATTCAGGAACTGGGGCAGCTCTGCTACTTGTGAGTGGCCATAGGGCTTCCCAGAGGTGGAGCTGCATGGGCTAGGCCTGGCATGGGTAGTAGGATTCTGATGATTTGTAGCAGCATGAGCAAAAGCATTGGAGTTGCTTCTGTACTAATTCCTAGGTGCTTGGGACAGACCAGTTATGGGGATGCCAGAGAAGAAGTCTGTCTCAGGGCCCTTCCCTTCTGACTCTGGCCCTGTTCTTGTACCAGGTCCAGTTTACTGCCCCGTGGCCTCGCCCGGAAGTGCTCCGTCTTCCACCTTTTTGTTGCCTGTCTCTTATTGGGCTTCCTCTCCCTGCTCTGGCTGCAGCTAAGCTGCTCTGGTGACGTGGCCCGGGCAGCCAGGGGACAAGGGCAGGAGACCTCAGGCCCAACACGGGCCTGCCCCCCTGAGCTGCCCCCTGAGCACTGGGAAGAAGATGCATCGTGGGGCCCCCACCGGCTGGCAGTGCTAGTACCCTTCCGGGAACGCTTCGAGGAGCTCCTGGTCTTTGTACCCCATATGCACCGCTTCCTGAACAAGAAGAAGATCCAGCACCACATTTATGTACTCAACCAGGTGGATCATTTCAGGTATGGGCCACCTCCTGACTCAGCACCCCCTTTGCCAGGGTTCTTACTTTGCCTGGGGCAATGGCAGCCGGGTGGGAGACAGTAGACCTTTCTCACTAGGTGTGACGGGAAATTTGGGGAAGGTTTGGGACTGGGAAGGGTCTGGATCAGATTTCCATTTTAAAAAGAACCTTGTGGCTGCTGTATGTGGCATAGATTATACCAGAATAAAAGAAGAGGCAGGGAGACCTGAGTAGTCACTGAGATGATGGTGGCCAGTCACATAGAAGGGGCTGGAGAAAAGTGATATGGAGGAAGTGCAGCCAGGACTCACAGGTGGATTGCCTGTGGGGGCTAGCGAAAGGAAGGTCAAGGCCATGGCTTTAAGTTGTTCACTTTCTGGCATTATCTTAAAATCCTTGCCCTTTCCCAAAACTACTCCCTTCCATGATCACAGTTCATCTCACACTCACTCCCATCCTTCAATTCATTCCCACTAAGAGACAGACTCCAATGATCCTTGGACCCCACTAAGCACATTAGTCCAGGATCCTCCCAATTTTCACTGCCCACTCTCCTTGTCCTTCCTTTCCCCTACCTAACTTGGCGTCCAGGGGCCGCCATTAAAGTCACTCCCCCATATACTCAACTGTCCTGCCCCTTTCTGCCTGGATAACTACGCCTGACAAAACCCCACAAAACCATACCTGGATGTGGCTAGAGATGCTGCTCGTGTCCCTGACAGTGAGCCTGGGTCCAGGCAGAACTGAAGCCTCCAGTTCCTCCAGTTCATTGCTTCTTCCCTCTGTGCACAGTCTTTCACACCACCTCTCCTCTGTTCTCCTCCTCTGCCTTTGTTTCTTATTTGAGAAAACCACCAGCTGGAAGAGAACTTGCCCAAGTCCCCACCTGCTGGACTTGCCTACTAGCTTCTTTGCACACTGCTGTTCTGCCCGCCCATTCCAGCAGATGCCCTGCCCCAGCTTCTCCCCAGGGCTAGCTCTTCCTCTCTGGCCTGGGTCACTTCTCCACACTCTCTTACTCAAGGACATCACTGCAGCCATTGGCTCCTTTCTTTCCTGCATGAGCAGTTTTTTTCCCCCACACCTGGCTTGTTCACGTCAGCATGCAGCCTTACTGAAATAATGCCCATCTAAGAAAAGAAGAGGAAGAAAGAAGAGCCCCCTTAACCCTAGAACCCCCACAGCTATCATCGCATTTCTCAGCTCCCCTCTGTAGGGGAATTTCCTTGTCTTCCCCCTCGAGCTCTCTTGAACCTGTTTCACTCAGATGTTTACCCCCATCATGACACCAAAACAGCTCTTGTTGACATCACCAATGAGCCCACCTTGTTAATCCAAAGACCCATTCTCAGCTTTTATCCTGCCAACCTTTTACTAGCATTTGCCAAGTGGGTCACTCCAAAGCCCAAGGCCTTCAGGGTCCTGTGCCTTTCTGACCTCACCCCAACCTACTCTCAGTTGCTCAGCCGGGCCACACTGCGGTCTGCTCCTGCCTCAGATCCTGGCAGTTGCCCCTCTGCCCAGAGTCCCCTTCCCCATATGGTTCAGCTCCTCAGGCCTTCAGGGTTCTGCTTAACCCTGCCACCCCCTTGAGGACAGGACTGAGATTCTCCACTGCTGATCTGCAGTGCTCAGAACAGTTTCTGGTGTGGTAGGTACTCAGTCACATTTGGAGAGGAGTCAGAGCTGGGGGGCATGTGAGTGCTGGGCAGCCACACAGTGAAGTCAGTGTCAGGCTGGAGGGCAGCCTGGGCACTGGGGTGGGTGCTCTGGAAGACAGGCTCTCGGGCAGTGTCTGGGGAGAGCCGCTCATGGCCGCCCTGCCCAGGTTCAACCGGGCGGCTCTCATCAACGCGGGCTTCCTGGAGAGCAGCAACAGCACAGACTACATCGCCATGCACGACGTGGACCTGCTCCCTCTCAACGAGGAACTGGACTATGGCTTCCCCGAGGCCGGGCCCTTCCACGTGGCCTCCCCGGAGCTCCACCCACTCTACCACTACAAGACCTACGTGGGCGGCATCCTGCTGCTCTCCAAGCAGCACTACCAGCTGGTGAGGCCCAGCCTAGCCTGCTGTGCTCAGGGCCAGGGAGTGTGCACCTGGGTAGGGCCGTGGGCAGTGAGTGGCAGTTCTGGGGCCCAGCAGATGGAGGAGTCCCATCCTGGTCACACCGGGGCATCCAGGAGCAGCTACGAGAAAAGTACCAGAACATGCAGATCCCTGAGGGAGGGCCCACAGCAACACCGTTTGCAAGCTGGCTTCAGAAAGCTGGGGTGGATTGGCTGTCAAAGTGGAAAAGTCCAGGGGTGCTGGCCCTGCCTCTGGTGTTGCCAGGACACCATTTCTCTTTCCATTTCTTGCTCTGACTGTTCTAGAGTGGATTTATTTCTACATGTTCAAAGTGCAAGGTAGTGACAGCTGCAGCTTGAGTCCAGCTAGATCCAAGTCCAGTGGAAGACAGTACCCTTCCTCACAGCCCTGACAGGAGCCTCAGTGCCTTGCCATTTGGCTCTTGAATTGCCCGCCTTGGTTCCTGGGCTGTCCCTGAGTTGACCACTGTGGCTGGGGGAGAGCTGCGTGGCATAGATCCAGTCTACTCCTTTCTTTAACCCATGGCTGAAACCAGCTTATGTGAATGAAGTCCCGGTCCCGGTCATAGAAACGGATGTCTGTGAGACAGCCAGCGGTCCCTCTCCCATGCAGAGGACACCAGGGAAGAAGTAGGAGTACAGGGTGGGGGCAGGTACTTCTGCCCATCTGGTTCCCCAGTGAAGGGCCCTCGCCTGTCAGACATTTTTGAGAAACCAGTATCTCAAGAGTTCAGGGCCCCATTTGGGTAGGACTGGGAGGTGCTGCTGTCTCCCCAGCCAGAGCTGTAAGCATTGAGTGTTCATTCAGAACCGCCAGGGGAGGAGGGAAGGAGCCTTGCCCAGCTGGGGCTTGGTGCTCCTGAGTGGAGGAGGCCACAGAGCACCCCGGGAGGATGGGGAGTGATGCCGCCTGTCTCTGTCAGTGCAACGGGATGTCCAACCGCTTCTGGGGCTGGGGCCGCGAGGACGACGAGTTCTACAGGCGCATTAAAGGAGCCGGGCTTCAGGTAACGCTCCCCTGCAGGCTCCGCCACCGGGGCTGCCCTGAGGGCCCTTTCACTGCCCCAGATGAAGTTCCTGGGCCTTGGCAATGGCACCCACAGTTCCAATTCCAGCCTGCCCCTGACTGCACACCTGTTCTGCAGGATGGGAATGCAGGCTCCTGCGTGGCCTTGGCTGACAGTGTGACCCTAAAGGACTAGCGCTGAGGGCTAGGGCTCCAGAGAAGCAGCCTGACCCAACTTCCTTTGGCCTCCTTAGCTTTTCCGCCCCTCGGGAATCACAACTGGATACAAGACATTTCGCCACCTGCATGACCCAGCCTGGCGGAAGAGGGACCAGAAGCGCATCGCAGCTCAAAAACAGGTGCTGGCTGGTTCCCTGAATGGGGACAGATGGGTGATGTGGGGCGCCAACATCATTTCACCACGTTCTCCTTGGGCCCAAATGGCTCATTCTCCCATTTGGCTCACGTCAGTTGACAGGTGCCCTGCTCTGGTGGCTGCTGTGGACACTGGGCACAGTTGGTTAACAGAGACCTCAGGGTCTCAGGTCTGCAGGGGGTAAGGGTGGTGTGGGACTCAGCTGAAGGTGCCAGAATCCCAGGCAGGTCTGGGACCCAGGTGTCCCCACCCCTCAACAGCCTATTCTCGGGAGGCTGTATTAGTCTGGTCCTGGCTCTTCAACTGACGTGGGATGCAGCTGTGGGTGAGACTCCGTCTGTGAGTCTCACTTCCTTCTGCCCCCAGCAGGGGCCGGTGGACAGCTGGTGGCACAGAGTCCTGAGTGTGTGCTTTGTCCCCCTTTCCTTTCCAGGAGCAGTTCAAGATCGACCGGGAGGGCGGCCTAAGCACCGTGAAGTACCACGTGGATTCCCGCACAGTCCTGTCTGTGGGTGGGGCCCCCTGCACTGTTCTCAACATCATGTTGGACTGTGACAAGGCTGCCACCCCTTGGTGCACATTTGGCTGAATCTCCTGGACAGTCTGGAAGCTTGCACCCACAGGCCATGCTGCTACTCAGGCCCTGGGCCCAGTTGCCATAGGAGGTGGAGTGACCTGAAGCAACAGACAGCGAACTGTATGTCTACAGCAGCCAGAGGCAGGGAAGCCAGCACAGGACACACTAGGGCATCTGGGACGCTGCTAGCGTCAACAGTGACAGAGAGGCTGCATGTGGCTCCTGGCTGGGACTCTTCACCCTGCCTACCTGCTCACCCTGCTCTGCCCTCCTTTGTGTGCTGATGCCTGCGGGCTTTGGGTCTTTTCCTAGACCCTCGTGCAGAGATACAGTTTAGAAGCCGGCAGCTCACGTGGATGGCCAGTGTGATTGTGAGGATTAAAACTGCAAGAGCCAGCCTGCAAGCTGATACCTGCTCCAAGATGGTCACCATGCGGGAATGTGGCCTAGTGTTGCCAGATCTTCTGATTTTTTAAAAAAGAAATTAGAATTCTGGATTCATAAGTGAAACAGTTAATTTTTAAATAATAACTAATTGAAACTTTAAAAAATATGACAGTCAAACAAAATGTTTGGGCCACTGGTTTGTCACCTGTTGCTGAGGGGAAAGGGGGGCGGAAAAGATGACCCCTCTCTAGTTATAAGCTGGCAAGGACTCGGGGCAGGCTGGGAACACAAAGCCAGGGAAACTGGTGGGGGAGAAGTGCAAGGTTCCTGTCGCCTCCCCATGTTCTCCAGGCTTTTCTGTCTGGAGAAACGGATCACCATCAAGGTCTGGGGGCACCCAACTTTGGGAGAGAGCTTTTGCTTGCCTCCCTGGGATGCACAGAAACATCCGCAGGACTGGACTTAGGGCGGGCAGACTGTATCGGCTAAGTTGTGGCATATGGGAGGGAGGAAGAAGATGGAGAAGTGAGAGAAAGCACGGACTGTCCCCGGAACACAAGGGAAGATGACACGTGTCACTAGAGAGAAGGAGGGAGTTAAGGGAGACCATGAAACTGGAAGTGAAGTGACCCTAAGAAAGCCTTTGGAGAGGGGCTGAGGGCCAGTGAGAGGGTGGGGAGTGAGGCCCTTCAAGGTTGATCACAGCTTCAGGTCAGTTAACTGCTGATGATTTGTAGCAGAAGTCAGAGGACTTGGGACCAGTTATAAGCTGTCCCGAGAGGACAGGTGATATGTTGGAGAAGGTAAAATTGAGATCTTAGAACTCAGGAAGATGGATTCAACTCTGATCCAGAAAGACTTCTCTGAAGTATGATCTCAGGGCTGCTGTGTACAATTGTGTGGGTTGTGTGCTGTGCAACCTGAGTGTTTCAAGTCAAGAGATTTAAGTAATGAGTGGGGTGAACCTACAGGATCCACATCACTGTTCAGACATATAAACAGGGTTCTTGTGATTTTAAATTGACCTTGCCCAGCAATTCAGCTTCCCTCACTACAATGAGGGGCAAACAATCCTCGGATACAGGGCAAGAGTTGTAGGAGGGGCTTTCTCAACTTGAGACCCAGGAGTGGGGAGTGGTATGCTGGCAGCATTTTGTAGGCTAAACTGGACAACTCTTACAGTTGCCAAGTAGTAAGACTTAAAAAAGGTGTGTGTGTAGGGGGTGGGTAGAATGGAAGGAGGGTGAATCCTGTCTTTTTATCTGCACTGGGGGAGTGGAATGAATAGAATAAAGTGGGATCATCGGACCTAGCCTAGGATGGGGTGCATCTCCAGGCCCACAGCCCCTCACTCTCCCATGGTCACTGCCATCACCTCCATTATTCAGGTACCAGTAGGTGCCCAGGCCAGGCATGATAAGATGCAGCTTTCTTCCCTCCCCAGCCTGGGCCTCTGCCAGCCACTCCAGAAGGGTCAACAGTGCTTTGCCTCAGTGCTTTGCCTCCTTGCTGGAAGAACTAACTCCCTGCCTTGCTGGCCAGGGCGTGGATGAAATGAACCTAGGATTTAGGAGCACCTACCAGGTGCTTGGCCAGCATGGTGCCTGTAATAATAACGGGTACTTGTTGAGCATTCACTGCACTGAATAATCGAATCTTTACATTGCATTATTTCACTTGGGCTTCTCTACTACCTAAGAGCTCACTCCTGTTACAGGTGATGATGGTGAAGCACAGAGAAGTAGTAGCTTGTCCAAGATCACACAGCTGATAAGCGGAGGACCTAGGGATACGAATCCCTGGAATCTGCCTTCAGAGCCAGATTACTTTACCCCTGATCTGTACAGCAGGTGCCTCCCTTCACACCTTCCCTCCTCTCCCTAGCTGGAGAGAGCTGGCCAACAGGGTCTGATTTCCCACCTCTGGGAAGAAAGCAGGACCATGGGCTAATACAAAGTGTTTGTCCCATTCCTCCTCTGGATTAAGATGGGGATTGGCTGCTGGAGAGGTCCCTTGGGGCACCAGAAGGACCCCAGAGCATAGCACTATGCTTGGGGAAGGCCTCTCCAAGGAGGTAGGGTCTTGCTCTTGGAGTCCAGTTGCCAGTCAAAAAACAAAGGACTCCTGGAAAGGATCAGGATGTGCAAGGCAGAGAGTGGAGAAGTGCATATTATGTTCAGGGACCTGAATGTTGCAGGCACCCCAATACTATGCAGAAGCCGGGGAATGCAGGCAGCAGAGGGAAGGTTAGAGTGACTATTGAGGTGTGAATGGCACACTGAGTGACAAGGAATGAGAAGAAGGTGGGTGTTCACTTAGTCCCTAGGGTCTGCAGGAGCCAGGACAAATGGCATGCCATTGGGCATTCTCTGCCCACTTTCCCCAAAAGGCCAAATTAATATACTTGGCCTTTTTGCCATCTCAACCCTCATGCCTTAAAAGCATTAAAAAAAAAAAAACAACTTTCAGTGTCTGCTTTAACGTGTTAAGGTTTGAATGTCATCATTCAGGTCCTTAAAACAAGAGAAAAGTCAACAAACTGAAAAGCAATTTCTTTTCTTGGACCTATTGAGAATTGAATAGAATAAAGTGGGATCATGAAGTTACAGGGCAAACTGCCACCCCAAATCTGGAGAGACAGGCAAGTATAGTCACAATTGAGATCCACTGAGCTAGAGCAGAAGTTGCCAGAGCGACAAACCGGTGGGAATAAATGGTCATTTCGATGTATTGATGGAGAATGAGTGTGGTGAAGAACCAAGAAAAATCCTCTTGTTTCTGGCAGGAGGAGGAGAAAATTAACTATGCTCAGAGCACTCTAACAAAAATGTTCCCTAATTCCTTTGTAAAAAGACTGCCAGAGCCTTATCTCACATAAGGGGGAGGATAATTACCCAACTCCAGCCCCCTCTAACCCTTCCGCCTTACCTAAGAAGGGGAGACAAAGCTAAGAGACAGGTGTGAAGGACCAGCCCAGGAATAAAGATCCATTGAGAGATGGAGATTAAATTATAAAACACACCCCCTTCCACAAACCTTACCACTACATCAATTAGCTCCAGTTCATTGATAGAGTTATAGCTAAAAGAACTTCAAGGCACAAGCTGTATTCAAGAAGTTTTTTTTTTTTTTTTTTTTTTAAAAAAGATTTATATAGGAGCCAGGGTACAGGCCAGATGGGCGGGAGGGTGAGAGGATTCACCAGAGACAGAGCAGGGAACAGAACAGGCATAGTGAGGAAATACACTGCTGAGGGGAGCAGCGGGCGAGCCAGGAGAGGTCTGCTCGCCATGTGGGACCCTCACCGGCCGGCCGGTATCGAACTGGCATTGCAGAGGCTGCGGACAGCTTCACAGCGCGGTGCTCAACTGCCTGCGCCACCAGGGGAGGCCCAGTATTTAAGAAGTTCTTGGGGAAAACCAAAGGCAGCATAGTAGAAATATACCAAGAAGGACACAAGATGATTTAAAGCCACTGGCATGTAGAGCTACAATAATCTTTAAACTCAGTCCTGAAAAGCAATCAGGATTTACCTTAAAAAAAAACTAAAAATGGGACCTCCCTAGTGGCCTAGGGATTAAGTCTCAGCACAATCACCACTATGGCCTGAGTTCAGTTCCCAAGCAGGGAGCTACCCACATGGCGCAGCAGACCTCCTCTCTTGTCTGCTGCACCCCTCAGCAGTGTATTTCAGTACCTCTGACTGTTCTGCTTCCCTCTCTGTCTCTGGTGAATCCTCTCACCCCTGCATCTCTGGCCTGTACCCCAGTTCTCATATGCAACAAACAAGCAAAATGATGATGATGATGATAATAATAATGATAAAATCTAAAAATGGAAATATCATATAACCCAACAATCCCACTCTTAGGCATCTAGCCACAGAATATGAAACCATCACTAAGAAAATCCCATATTTTCCATAATTTAATAGCAGAATTATTTACAATAACTGGGACACAAAAGCAGCCTAATGTTCATTAATGGATGATTAAATCAAGAAGATGTGGCATATTACATAGCCATAAGAAATGATGAAATACATTTTTAACAATGGAATTTGAGAGAATTATGTGCAGCAGAGTCAGAACAATAAAAACAAATATTGGACATTTACCTAGACAGTTTGATAATGTAAAACACTTTCAAAAACTAGTGGACATTAATAAGCATCCTAAGGGGGCAAGGGTATGGGTAAGGGATGGTGGTAGGGGTTAAAAAAACAAAATTAAAGAAAAAAGCAACATTAAACTCAGTCTGACTCCTAGCCAGACTAACATCAAGTCTCACATTTAAAGTCTGTTTACATCAGTCTTTTACCTAGCAAATCGTATATTACAAGGCAAGTTAAAAGGCAGGGGGAAAAAAAGACTGAAGAGACAAAGCAAGCATCAGAAACAAACTCAGATATCACACAGATTTTGGAATTATCAAACAGGAAATTTAAGAAAACTATGACTAATATGTTAAGGGCGCTAATGAAAAAAGTAGACAGTATGCAAGAACAGATGGGTAATGTAAGCAAAGAGATGGAACTCCCAAGAATCAAAGGAGATGCTAACATCAAAAATGCCATAACAGATGAAGTATGCTTTTGATGGGATCTTTAGCTGACAGTCAAGGAAGGAAGCAGTGAGCTATAAAATATAACTATAGAAAATAAAATGCAAGGAGAAAAAGAACAGACTATCCAAGCGCTCTGGTACAAATTCACTGCAACTCGAACAACTGGACCATCACAAGGAGATAAAAAAACAGAGACATTTTAGAATCTTGGATCTATATTTTAAAAAAGTGTTAGAAAAAGGAATAAATGAAGGTAATATAAAATTTTGTATTCTTATTCTTAATTGATAAATTAGGTAATGTTGAAACTACTAACAGCTACAGTTATTGGGGGCTACAGTGTAAGGAAAAGTAAAATGAGTTATAGATCATGTTACATGTTATAAGGATCAGGAGAGAGATATTAGGAGTACTTTGTTATAAATACTTGCACTACCTGTGAGTGGTAGTGTAATTTGAAAGTGGAATTAGATTAGTTATAAATCTATATTGCAACCCTAGGGCAGTGAGTTAAAATACTTTAAAAGAAGTATAATATACTAAGAGGAAAAAACAGAATTAAATAAAATTCCCCATTAGAACCAGAGAAGACCAAAAAAAAAAAAAAAGAAGAAAAAGAAATAAGGATAAGTACAATTAATAGCAAACAGCTACAAATATGGTAGGTTGAATAGTTATAGAAATAATTTTTAAAATGTAGTCTAAATATACTAATTAAAAGGCAAAGAATGTCAATAGATTAAAACAAAAGACCCAACTGTGTGTTGTCTACTTTAAATATAAAGACACAAATAGTTTTTTTTATCTTTTTTATCTAAAAAGAAGTTATTTTATTTTGTCTTGGTCTGAGGTTCAGTGAATCTGAACAGAAAAGAGTCTCCAACTTTTTACATTATTAATGATTTAAGTATACATTTGTTTTTGGTGAAAAAAGGATGAATAATTATTTTTAAATGCTTTCATGATTTAACATCCACAATCAAAGTAACTTGTAAAATCTTTGCAAATGTTAAACCAATAAGAAATAATGAAGTATAAAATCTGAGAAAAGTTTGCCCAGAGTAAGATCATGAGTTAATTTACATTAGAACTACTATTAGCATTACTATAATGCCTGGAATTAGTAATAAATGCTTATAAAAGATGCTTAAAAATATGTGAATTCCTGTTATCTAGAAATCTTATACAAAGATGTCTAGATTTTCTTGATATATGAAGATAGAAATACACATGATTTTGTGCTCTTTGCATTAAAAAACTGGTATTCTGGAAGAAGCTATATATATTTTTTATTTATTACATCATTCTTTTTTTTTTCATTCTTCATATTTGTACAATGTATGATTTCCCCGTGAAATTCCCACCACCTTTTCACCCGTGCACCATCACCATGGTCCCTTGTGCTCTTCCCACCCCATCCCGATCCTTCTCTTTCCTCCTCCCCTACAGAATGTCTTTGATCTATAGTTACCTGTTGATTTTGATTTTTACTTTATTATAGTTAGTTTTTTCCTGATCCTTTATTTGGTTCCCTTACATTCCTCCTAGAAGTGAAACCATCTGATATATATTTTTTTCTTTCTGGCTTATTTCACTGAGCATAATCCTTTCCAGCTCCATCCATGTTGCTGTGAATGGCATGAGTTTTTCCTTTTTTTTTAAATTTAATTTTTATTTTTAAAAAAGATTTATTTATTTATGCATACAAGAGCTGGGGTACAGGCCAGAGATGCGGGGGGTGAGAGGTTTCACCAGAAACAGAGTGGGGAACAGAACAGGCAGATTGACCGAAGTACACTGCTGAGGGGAGCAGCGGGTGAGTCAGGAGAGGTCTGCTGTGCCATGCGGGTTGCTCCCTGGCTGGCCCGGGATTAACTCAGGCTGCAGAGGCTGTGGATTGCTTCATAGTGTGGTACTTAATCCCTTGCGCCACCTGGGAGGCCCGAGTTTATCCTTTTTGATCGCTGAGTAAAATTCCATTGAAGACACAAAAAGTAAAGGGATGGAGAAAGACATGCTATGCTAACATTAATAAAAGAAAGCTGGAGTCACTGTATTAATTGCAGACAAAGCAGATGTCAGAGCAAGGAAAATTATTAGGGATAAAGAAGTCAGTACTCCAAGGAGCTATATGTGATAACACCTAAAAACAGCATCAAAATATGTGATGCAAAACTGTTATAATTGCAACATGAATAAACAAATCCACCATGATGGTCAGAGACCTCAACACTTCTCCACCGGCAATTGGCAGGCCAAGTAGGCTAAAGATCAGGATATAGCTGAACTGAACACCATCAACCCTCTGAATCTAATTAACATTTAAAGAATACTCCACCCAACAACAGAATACACTTTCTTTTCCAGCTCACATGGAGCATTCACTATGATAGACTCACACCTTAACAAGTTTAAAAGAATGGAAACCAGGCTTCCCTAGTGGCGCAAGGGGTTAAGATGCAACCTATGAAGATGTCTGTGGCCCCTGTGGTGTGAGTTCGATCTCCAGCCTGCCAGGGAGCAACTCCCATGGCGCAGCAGACCTCTCCTGTCTTGCCCACTGCTCCCCTCAGCAGTGTATTTCAGTCAATCTGCCTGTTCTGTTCCCCACTCTGTCTCTGGTGAATCCTCTCACCCCCCACATCTCTGGCCTGTACCCCAGCTCTTGTATGCATAAATAAATAAATCTTTAAAAAAAATAAAAGAATGGAAACCAAACACAAACTATGCTCTCAGATGAAATTAAACTAGAAATAACAAATTGAAAAATAGGTGGAAAATCCCAGAATAATTGGAGATTAAATAATACCACATGATTCAAAGGCATCTCAAGAACAAGTTTAAAATGTTTTGAACTAAATGAAATTGAACATAAAGAATATCAAAATTTGTGGGGTGCAGTGAGAATAGTGCTTAGAGGAAATTTATAGCATTGAATGCATATATTAGAAAAGAAAAAAGATATAAAAACCAGTAATCTAAACTTCCACCTCGGAAACTACAGAATGAAGAGCAAAAGCAAACAAAAGAACAGAAAAGAAAATTAGAGTGAAAGTCATTCAATTGAAGACAGAAAATCAATAGAAATAAATCAATGAGAACGAGATCTTATTCTTGGAAAAAGTCAATAATGTGATGAAACTCTAGCCAGGCTAAGAAAAAAGAGAAGACACTAATTACTAGTGTCAGAAATG